TATTTTACTTTATTAATACTACTAAGCTTATTATCTAATATCCATTTATTTAAATTAGAGCCGATAGCCTGTGTTGCTAGTGCTCAATGTCTTTTTTTTTAGTCTAAGAATTCATTTCATTAGTCTAAAATTAAAATGATAATAATAATAATAAATTAAAAAGCAAACCGAATTTGCTCGCAGTACTGGGTGCTTGATCGTAGCGTGTAATAGCACAGAGAAACTTCTTTCATCAAATTCTTTAACAAGATTCTGAAGGATCGTCGGACGGATACATTCTTTGATTGCAGAGATAAATCTGTACAGTTCCGAGGAACACAAATTGTGTTTCGAAAATATTGGCCGCTGAGGTCTTGTTACATACGGTTTGGGGGGTAAATTGAAAGAAAGTTTGGTGAGTGAACTGAGAGAAGGTGTGGAAATAACAGATTTGCTTCTAACGACCGCATTAAATTTTTTATTTGTTAATTTTTCTTTTTGCGTTTTCATTATCATCCTTGCTCGAAATGGCAGATGAGCTCCCCAATGGAGGGAAATTCTCGTCGCAGGAGTTGTCATCAAACATTCAAAGTAGTTTGAAGAAAATTTCTCTTTCATTTCTTTATAGGAGAGACTTTTAATGGCCATGATCTTCTTAATATTTAATTCCAGCTTCCTGTTCGGGCAACAATTATTTAGAGTCTTGTGCTCACCTAAACCACAGGACAAGCATCTCGTTGCTGCACTTTTTTCACACGTGGGAGACTTCCCGCAGTTTGAGCACCTTTCCTCCTTCGCTTTGCAGAACTTGGACACATGCGTTTATCTGCTGCACTTAAAAGATTCCTTTAAAGTAGGGACAAAGTACTCCACGGCCACATTACAGAAATTAAATTTAAATACTTTGGGGAGGGCTTTTCCCTTATTTTGATGCTAGTGGTTGAAATGAACTCTTCTTTGCTGTTGGGGTTTCTTCTACGAAACCTAACAGCAGACTTGATAGGAACGTCGGAGACCGCTTTTTCGATGATCTCGTTTTCACTGTATTCGATGGGGCCATTTCGAATTGCTCCGAACCTCTCGGTGAAGGTTCTCAGAATTTATGCTTTTAAGTTCTTTTTTTTGAAATCATTATCTTTGACGAAGCTGTTGACATTACCACGCAAATCAGAAGGCTATTTAAATACCTTTTTCCTGAGTACTGTCTATAGCTTCTGCCTTGGGAGGTAGACTAACATCATCCCCATCCATCCTCCATCTCTGGTTGTGCTCATTCGTATAGAAAGCCTCGAAATCGTCCCTCTCCGTGACAATTAGTTCAGCCCCCGTCTCCATAGGGAGGCAGGCTGATGTTGTTGTAATGCTTATGCTGGGGAATAGTTACCAATACGGACGAAAAAGGAAAAATTAATGTATATATTTTTTATTTTTTTAAATTATCAAAAATATCGTTTCTTTTTTAAACTTTTGTTTTTTTAACTTCCTTTTTCAAGTTCTTTCTTTAAATTTTTTTCTTTATTTATTTATTCCTTTTTTTCACTAACACCGATAAAAAACGAGAAAAAGAAAAAAATTTTACAGCTGCCGTTTGCGGTAAGTCAAATGACGTGTTATTTCTATTGTTGATGCCAAAGGAATGAAGTGAGCATCTATATTGAAATGTTTTTAATTAGATGTCGTCTGGATGACACCATTCACAAAAACTTCAATGAATATGTTTACAAATTTTTATTATAATGAAAACAATGACTAATAATTACGAATTTGTCGTCAGAATATTTTCGTAGTCACATGTTTGTGTGGGTCATTGAAATACAACTATTAACTAAATTAATCAAATACAAATTATAAAATATCGATGATCGTGGTTTTCTTCCTCAGCTTATTTACAGAAGATATTACTTAGCGTTCAATTAGTAAGCACAAAAGCTTTTTTCCTGTCTACTTTATAACTACCGTTTTCTCCTAAGCAAATCAGCTGATACAGATATCAAGTTCACAAATTAATGTGTCCGACCTCTTACTACAAGCACACTGCTAGTGGCAACATTTTGTGGAGACAACGGAGGGTTAGTTAGGGTGTTAACTCACATATCAACATTGGGGGATTCCAGCCTACTAAAACTTAAAAAAAAAAAAAATTAAATATGTGCTCCACTACCTCACCAGCTAGGATCTATAAAATATATGTCCGCTCTGAAATCATTTGTGTACTGAACAAATTAAGAAAATAACGAGCGGAATGTCCTACCGTCTTATTTATTCGTTCGTTAGGATAAAAAATGTT